AAAAAAAAAAAACAAAACAAAAAATGAAAAAGCATAATTTATTTACTTGACTAGCTAATTCATATTTTCAATTAGATTTTTTTGTTTCATTCCAAAAATACATGGTAAACCCTGGAGACGTTTTAATCTATTTGACTATTAATTCACAATCAAAAAATTCATCTCAACAAGCCTTTAAAGCAAATAATGTAAAAAAAAAAATTAAAAGCCTTGTTTTTCTTAACCCTTTAACTCCCAACGGTGATCCATATGTAATTTCTACCTTTTATATCCAAACATTATCCAGTAAATAAGGAATGAGAATATTCAAAGTTATCAAGTAGAAGAATTTTTATCTTCATCTATTAGCAAATGTTCATGACTTATTCACAAAATAATGCTTAGCAGTTGGAGGTATGATTTTACAATGAGATCTTGGTTTTGAACAGTTATACAGTGTAGTGGAGAGCAAACCCCGTGAAAGTAATGGTCAAAAGCAAAATCTGGTTCTTTACTAACATTTTTCGCGTCTTCCTTGTCGAATTTCCTTACGATAACAATTGCAGACGCATAACACAACAGAACCACCGCCATAGCCACAATTACTGCAATATTTCCAGTTTCCGGTAACTGCTGGAACTCGACTAGAACCTTGTCAAAGTCAATAGGATTCGGTTCAACTAAAAGACTTCCTCCAAATGATGTCAAATGATTGCAGCTACAATTTATGAATCGATCTGATGCTGCCAAAACCTGGAATTATAAATTAAAAGGAAGATGTAAGTGATGAAATTTATCATAATGATTTTGGCTGCAGCTGCTTATCACTCTGTACCTTTCTCTTTTAAGGCGCTGGTAAGCTTTTGTTGGTTATCAAATATTTTCGACCTTTTACGATAGCAGAACCAACGGAAAATGTTATCAAAACAACGTTTGGCCTGAATACAATGATAAGCCTAGTGAATGAAGATTATTACAATACCGTAATAATTTTTCAAAAATTACTAAGAAAGGAACGACTTTTCTGAAATGTGTTGAAAGCAATGCAAAATTATAACAATAATTATTGTCCTGAAGTTCATTTTTAACTTTTCACTTACCCGACAGCCAGACGATATCCACTTGTCAAATTTTTCTGACCAGTAAACACAACTACCTAAGGCCACCTTCAGAGTGTAGTTCTCATCTGTTGTGGAATCATGAACTGGAATCACAGGGAAATTTTCATCCTGGGGTGGGGTGGGTGGTGGATCTTTGACTTCGACGCAGGAGCGCTTCCCTCGCTTTTCTTCAAAACAAGATCGTTTCTGTCTTTTGTGAGATAACTTCATTGTGGCGTTGGCATTTTTCACGCCAAGAAAGTATTTCCCTGGATGCTCAGCCAGAACTTGTATCGGTGCATGTGGATTAAAGGAGCACACTGTTTTTCCTTGACTTTGGTCACGTGCACGTAGCATCCAAACGCACTTTTTGTCTTGAGAGATTGTGGCATTGAGGTCGTGGTCTTGAGATGTTGGCCGCTGACCAAAACGCATATAGACAAACAGATGTAGGGTTGGGTCTTGAGGTCTTATTTCCAGGATTAGCAAGGTGTTTTCATATTTGACGTTTATCTCGTGGAAACGTATATCATCATATTTCGTGAAATACCATGACTTCTCTAGAAATTTCTTTTGAAGTTTCGAAGGCGTAACTATGACGGCAATATCTTCTGTGAGATTCGATACTTTAATAGGCTCGCTATAGTTGTTTTTCAACAGCAGGGTTACAACATCAGAGCTAACTCGCTCCTTTGTGCCGTCCCAAGTGTAAGGGTTGAAAGAGAATGACAACATCTAAAAGAGTAACAACATTTCAGCTACGTTTGTTTGTTTGTTTGTTTGTTTTTACAAAGGATTTCGTCGTACTATTAAACGTAAGCTAATGCACTGATGAGGCCCAGAAGGCCGAAAAAGCACTGTCTACTCATATGTATATATTTGGAAAATAAATGAAATAAATATACAATTTTCTTCGCGTGGTCACTTTTTTGAAATATTTGAAAGCAAGAACTTTCGTGTCAGAATGAAAAGTGATTACTAAGGCTTTTGACAGACTTGATGCTTTTTTAAACTCAGTTTCAACATCTATTTAAGGCGATGTTAGGAAAATCAAGCTCCATTGGATTCGATTCCGTTCTTTTTACTGTACCAAGTATTAGTGCTGAGCAAGTCAAAAGCAAAATAAGTAATAGAATTGCTTCTGGTTGTAAGCAGTCTTCAATGTACCTGGTGTGCTACTTTACTAATTTAACTTGTCTGGCGTCGGTATTTGCTGACACATACTTTCCCGATTTTGCCACGATTAAATTGAATTTGCCTTCAGGTACTGAATACTTACCTGAGCATCTACAAAACTTGTTTTATTCACACCGGAGACTATGAATTGGCTTTCAGACGGTAACAAAAAGCGCCCTTTTCCTGCTTTTATCTTCAGTCCTGAAAGTCTCTGGAGGCTATATCTTCCAAGTGTCATGGACAATTGCCCAGCTGTGATTGATATCGCTTTTTCATCAGGGACAGTCAAGGCCAACACTGAGTCTGAAACTTTATCGATGACCTTCATCGCAATCTTCGCCAACATCTTACCCTGTAGAAATGACATAAATAAACATAGAATATAAGCAAATTATGAGTCGTCAAAAGTTTGAAACAAAAAGGTCCGAAATCTGAAAAAAGATGGGAGTGACGGTGAAGTTAACAGCAATCTGCAGTAGGCCACTCACCTATGAATTAAAAAGTAATGACCGTAAGGTGGAAAGAGAGAAAAGAGGGATTTGCTCGCATACAAGGGCAAGTTAAAAAAGAATGTTTTTCGTAGACCTCTCGACACCATCTAAATGTACATTACAATACCTGTTCTTGAAAACTTGATTCTGAATCCTCTGAGGCCATCACTGCTGCCGCCTTCAACACGCTATTTAAACATAAAGCCAAGTTTTCTGCTGACTGAGTTGTGAGCTGTATGTCTGCTATGTCTCTTTTCTGGGCAAGAGACCACAGAAGGGACGTCATTGAACGGACCGCAGATAAGGAGATATTCGCCAGTAAGGAGATATTCTGTGGAATGCAAATTAATTAGAGCAGCTGAAATTGGTTATTTTTCAGTTTTGTTTTTATTGAGCTATGAAGAGATATTCTGCGATGAGCTAATTAATATAAGTACTAAACCTTAAACCACTAACCATGAGTTGCCTTTTTCGTGTCCTGGTTTTCATTTTGTTTAATCTTTGTTGTTGTTGTTGCTGTTGGGGTTTGAGCCCGTTTGGCTTACAAATGTCACGGTATGATAAGTCGACATAACGTCCAAAGGTACTCAAACATTAGTATATTGCATTTGTCTATTTCTCATTTATGTCGCATTCAGAGAAATACAATGTAACTTACCAGTGACTCGTGGTTCACTTTATCCAAGACCTGAAGAGCAGAACCAATAACTGAGGAGCTTTGGAGCAGGTCCGCGACACTTTTTCGTTCCAAAGAAGAAATTTTTACAAGGATGTTGTGCATTACCTTGAAAGTGATAAACATGAACAGCTAAAGGTCGATTTTAGCCAGGAAAGAATCAAGCAGATAGACTGTCTCCCACATATGAGGCTCTTGCCAAAGGAAATCGTTCTAAAGGTATCAATAGACTCAGGTTTCCCAGTAATATTGCCACTAACAACCATAAAAATAATACATTCGCAAGTATGTGATTGGTCCTAACACATCGCAAGTTCAAATATAGGTCCAAGCTGAAAGTAAGGGATGTGTGCGGGTGATTTACGCTAATGAAACATTTTTCAAGACGTCGAACATACTCGTTTCAAATTGAGTTTAAGGCTGTAAACCGTTCTCCATTCTGACCATAACATAACATAACATAACATAACATTTATTCAGGACGCTACAACGCAAATATAAAAAATACATCCTGAAAAGGGAAAATCGTGAGATTATCCCTGTATAAAAACAATTTCCCTGACTAAAAACATACAAAAGCTAAAATTCAATAGCTACAGATTCAATAAATATTCAATAGATATTAATATAAATTTTAAGTCTACTCTTAAAATGACTATGACTAAGCCTATTTGAAGCCCTATTTGAATTTTCAGACGCAAAAACAATAGAAAGAAGACATAAATCATGTAAGCCATGATTCTTGAGCATCAAAGATCTCAAATATTGAACATGTAAGCATCTCATTTACTAAAAGAAATATGCTAATACACTTAATGTAATACACTTGTTTGTTATTCGAGAGTTAATGTTTTGTTTTTTGATTTCCAATACATTTTTATTCTGTTTTTCCCCAGGGATAATCTTTGTTCTTGGGCTTTAAGATCATCACAAATTCTCTTTTGCTTCATTATTTAAAGGAGCACTCTTATGAAACCTCCCTGTAATTTGGAAACCCGAAAAATCCAAATATTTTTACATAAAAACTTGAAATGTTCACTAGTTAATCGTCTCTGGATATGTTTTCCTATTTGTCACACGGGAAGATCGTCAAATTCGCGATTTTCTGTTGACCCGCTAAAAGTTTACGTAATCAATTGCCAGACTCAAGAGAACTGGAACGAGTTTTGAGCGTGACGTAGATGATTCATTTGACGCGCAAGAGAGTGGTATTCCATATTCAAAACAGTATTTTGATCGCATATATTGCTTTTATAACACTAAGACTAAGACTATTTGACTAAATTTCACGAGGTTTCCCTATAAATATAAAATTACGCCAACAGTGTTTTGAGTTATCTACGTCACAATGGGAGTGACAGCTGACCAAAGATAAGTTGGCCGTGAGTTTGAAAATTAATGGCGGGACGCTTTTCAAATCATAATTTCTCGCCCTACGATTGACTTTCAACTAAAATTATTACTGAAAAGGCTTTATTAATCGCTAAAAATTCCTATTACTATAAAATAGCTGAATTTTTTTGGGTTTTTAAATTATAGGGAAGTTTCATAAGAGTGCTTATTTAAGTATGCATTAGGCTTTTAAAGTACCGTGTATCTCTTCTGCAAATCCGCTGAGTTTTCTTGTAAAACTGATTGTAAGACAGAGTTCGCAAGTAGCGCGGCTTCTCTCAGGTTTCCGTCTTGGATTAATTCAGTGAATGAACCGTCATTTTCAATGAGAAGGTTTGGGATATTAAGAAATGGTTTGATCTGAAAAGAGTAGAAAGCAGGTATCGACTTGGTTACATGCATAAAGACAATTTTACGATAAATTTTGGGTTTTATTAACTAAGTTGATAATGTAACTTGACCACAGTAAAAAGTTATTGGAAAAGCTTTTGTTACACACCCCCACCAACGTAGCACTGCGGTTTCTTTAAACCCTTACTCTCTTTAAAGAGAGCCTCTTAATCTAAACTAAGAGAGACCAAAAAGAAATTTAATTATTTTTTGTAACACCTTAAAAGGTGTTACCACTTTACGTCTTGCTAGAATTAAAACAATAGTTATCGACCTACCTGGACCGTCAAAGGAAATGGGGAAGCAGAAATTCCCAAACTGTCAGTCACCGTAACGTTGAACTTCACAGTAAAGTTATCTGCCTTATTCCCAGGTGGTATCCTAGAGGCACTTATGGTGTTGTTAACGCCACGATATAACACACTGGACAGACCATTCTGTAGCCTGTATTGAAACACGTAGGACAGAGGGTTGCTGTTACTTTTCCAATTGCTACAGCTCAGATTGAAGTCAGTCTTTAGTGATGTACCGCTTCGCGGAGTGATTACGCATTTTCCTCCTGTTGGGGGTAATGCCGTGGAAATGTCGTAAGCACTCATTCCCCATACACCTTCCTTAGTTCTAATGAATATTGCCAAGCGGTACTTGCTTCCACCAGTAAGGGAGCCTCCTTTGATAACAATATTGCTTGAATTTAGTGGCGTAATTGTGATGTTTCGTAAATTGATGATGGAATTGTTTCGCTCTAATTCCTGGTAGAGTATCCATTCAAAGGTAGATATTTTAGAGCATTGTAATCCCTGGCATAAAGATTGGACTCCAAGTTTAACCAAGGGACTTATTTTAGGTTGGCAGTTAAAGAAACATCTAGAATGAAGAAAAAAGATTAGATAATTGACAGCGAAGAAAGGATTTTAAACTCCTGTTGTCTGACGAGAGCATGTTAATGTTAAATAACTGCAGCAATAGTAACTGCCATATAACATTAATACGAGCACCTGCTAGTAAATTAACTACAACAACAATAACAACGACAAAAAGTATCATTAACAAAGCTATAAAAAATAGAAGACAGTAAAAACAACGAATACTAACAAAACCAGAAAGAAAACGGGTGGAAAAGAACAACGGAGGCGTCGGCAGCGAAAATATAGAGTAAAACCAAGGTCAAGAATGAATAGAGTTATTAATAAGGGCAACAAAAACAACAGCAAAAACAATACGAATAAACTAAAAGCTGCAAAATTAAAAGCAAATCCCTAACCTTTGATATATTTTTGGGGGGTCTCCTTCTAACAAATGGATTACTTGATAAACGGTGGAAATGCGAATGTCCTTAGTCACTTCTAGTTTAACTATGAGGGTCTGACTAGGAGACAAAGCTTTCGTGTTTAAGGAAATTGTTTCGCCAGCTGCTTTTCCATAATAGTTTATAGCTGACTCGTTTACTGCTGCAAAGAAACCTTTCTTTGTTTTCCAACCCACTTGTTTGCAAGAGTGGTCTGCTGTGATTTTACCATAATGCCAAGTGAAGTTCATTCCTTGTCGGTTGCCACGTGTAGCGTTCGGATCATATGACAGTGAGGCATTCAATGTTATGTTTTCCTTGAGTCCTCTAGTTATCTCAGTGCCACCAGAAATGATTGCAACAAGGTCCTGTTTTGTTTTGTTAAACTTGTCTGTAGTTTCAAAACCATCTGCCGACTTTTTCTCTAAATATGTGAATGACAGGAAACGCAAACGATATAAGGGTACAATAATTTAAGCTTCTCATTATTGCTAAATTTGTAAACACTTGCATGAAACGGATATTTTGTAGTAGCAAGGATCCTGTCAGTTACCTAACAACACAGGTTTTACTAGGTTAGTGTTACGACGCGCTAACCCGAAGTGTACCATGCCAACGGAAACTATTAGAATTTATTATACAACTATACCTAGACGAGTACAAATAACGCCATAGACGAGTACAAATATCACGCGGTATTTGTGCTCGTCTATTGTAGAGGACCGGTTAAACAGATTTTCTCGCATCGCGCAAGCGAAGAATTGGATTGTAATTACGAAAATAAAACAAATGGCGGACAATTTGAATCATATTTCCGACCACGAAGAGTCACAATGGCTGGCAAATGTAGATCCAAGCTCATTAGATGAATGGAACGAAGAAAAACAGCTTGACGACTAGAAAATTTATTCATTCAATGAAGAAAATAGAAACAGCAGCACAATAACGCGCCAATTCCGTTCCGCTTCGCATACTTCTGTCACGCACTCCCCGTAAATAAAGATCCGCGAAATTCGCCCGCACTGCAATAACGGTTTGGCGTGTTGGATAATAAATAACTTATTAGACGTTTTGTTGTGTAGTATCGCTGAGTATTTTTACTCGTTATTTGTATTTTGACTCGCCCTACGGGCTAGTCAAATACGGCACAACTCGTAAAAATACTCAGCGATACTACACAACAGAACGTCTAATAAGATATTTTTATTATCTAACTACACTCCATGGAGTACAGATAACGCCATAGACGAGTACAAATATCACGCGGTATTTGTGCTCGTCTATTGTAGAGGACCGGTTAAACAGATTTTCTCGCATCGCG